CTGAAAGCAATAAAATAAAAATTTTTTTAATGTTGAGGGGTCAATCCTAAAAGCTTCCTCATGGTATTGTTTTTGTAAAGAATGAAGAAAACGAAGTATGTCCCCAGGGCCCCCATCACCCCGGTCTTCTGTGGGTACCGGAGCTCTGCAAGCCTGAAGCCTCCAGCAGTCCCCAAAAGAGTCTCAGCTCCAGCTCTGAGCCTGGAGCCCCACCCTCCAAATCCTTGTGGCTGTCAACAATATGTCCCTTCTGCAAGCTTTCAGGCAAAACCCACCTAGCTTAGAGCTGGCTGCCCTTACCAAAGAAGTGGTAGTGCCCTCTAGAGCAGCAGGGAAGGCTGGCCAGGGAGAGTCCACCAGTGACTTACCCATCTCCCGTGTGGCACCCCCAAATGGAAAGCAACTGAAGACCCTTGAAAGAACTGTCACTCAGGAGTAATCCCACCAGGGTGGGCCCTGTACATAGGTACCTGGTGCGATTTGAGGAACTCCAGACACTCTCTGTGCCCAGATCTCCCACTCTTTGTCACTGGGCCTGATATCCCACAATCAGACCTCATTCCACCAGCATTTATGAGCACCTACAATTTTCTAGGCATCCTGCTAACCATTGGGCTTAAACCCATTGGGCTGTGTAGTACCCTCTCTAAGCATTTTCTTTTGAAATGCAAATACCCTCGAAGAAGGGCAATGCATTAAATCACTAATACCCCTAAGTTAATTGGGGGTTTCTTTCTTTTAAAAACAGTAGAGAAAGCCTGGACATCTTTAGCAAAAAGGGGAGCTAAAGTTCAGAGGGCAGAGGTGACTACCGAGCTAGAAGCAAGACAGCAACAATCTGGCCTTTTTCTGTGGTTGATGTCTAGGGCCACATCTCCCCCTTCCTTTATCCTTTCACCAAGACAAACACACCCACTGCCCCCACAAGCAGCCACGGTGCCCATAAGTGCACCTGGTAAGGCTAGCCAGATTCCAGAGAGCAGCCAGAGGCTGGGCGGCCTTGGCCCTGCTGCAGAGGGCTCTGGCCTGCCTCTCACCATCTCCAGGGTGAGGATGCCCTGAACTAGTGCCTACTCGCTCCCCAACAAGTCCAGGGCTTGGAGTTCAGGTAATTAAGCCCTTGGCAATCTCACCTGGGCCCGCCAATAAACCAGACAATCAACCCCAGCCCCTGTTCAGGGGGGAGAGAGAAAAGAAGGAAGGCAGGAAGGAGAGAAACTTTTTTCTATGCTGCATTCAAGGCTTGGCAACCAAAAGGGAAAATGCTATTAGTCTACAAACAGCCACTCCAAATACCCACTCCATACCCAGGGTCTTCCCCTTCTGCCACAGAACCCTGGTCTCCGTCTGCCACCATCATCGGGGTGACAGAGGACACCTGTGTGGGCTGCAGCCTGAACAGGAGCCAGGCAGTGAGGGCCTATACTTGCAGAGACAGGTTTTCCCCAGCATGGCTCCTTCCATGGCAGAGGAGGGAGGGAAGGGCACCTGAATCCCCCACCCCACATTGAAAGCCACAGCCACACTCCAAAAATGTCTAGAAGGATGCTCCAGATGCTCCCTTTAGAGCAACTGAGTGACTTTTTCGTACCCTGCCTGACTTCACCGCCAGCTCCTGAGGGTCCAGTCTCTCTCTGCCTGGGCTCCTACAGAAGACCATTCCTTAAGCATCTCTACTTTGGTGCAGTGCCCAGCAGGTTCCTGGCACTCAAATAGAACTTCCCTTTCCCCCCTAAATAATAAACATTAACAGTTCTGGTATATGATCACACTGATATGGGATGGAGTTCCGTATCTGGCACTTTTTACTCCCTATATCACTTACTCCTAAGACACACAAGAGGAAAAGGCTTTTTTGTCTCATGGTAGAGTGTGGGAGAATACAACTGAACAGTAGTAATTGTCATTTAGTGAGTGCTTGCTAAGGGACTAGCCTAAGTACTCTGGGGATTATCTAAGTTAATTTTTTCTAAAATACTATTATTATCCCAATTTACAGACAAGGAAACTGAGGCTAAGAAAGAAATTTGTCCAAGATCACACTGAAGTTTTAATGAATACTTATTTAATTTAATTGAAGACTCCCATTTCATATCAAGAACTAGTAGGAAGGAGGGAGAAGACATTTGTGTCCCCCCAAAAAAACTATCCAATCTCACCAACATATAAACAGGCCCCGGGGGAACCCAGCAAGTCCTACTCGCTCTTCACCTTGCGCGTAACAAGCCCAGTTAGCCTAAAAGTCTCTGGGCCGCCTCTGGAGAGGCTACACTCCTCCACCGTTTGGGGGGGGGGGGGGAGCGGTTCCTGGAAGCTCTCAAGGATTCCAAACGTTCCCATTGCCTTTTCTAATGCGGGTCTCAATTGAACAAAACTGGGGGTTCTAGCTTCTCACTCTCCTGCCCTGAGGAGAGGTTTCAACAGGTGGGGAGGAGGTGCATCACGGTAGAAGCCTGGAGGTCTCTTAATCCGCCCCCCCCCCCCCCCCCCGACCCAACTGGATTCATAACCGCAGGGGGAAACTTGGGCTCTGCAGTCAATATGGGAGCCTGCAGTTCGCCCAAGGCAGCGGACCTCTTGGAGCCTCCGGGCCTGGTCCGCAGAAACCCGCGGAGAACCCCTCCACCCCTGGGTCACGCGCAGCAGGAGGCGCCGCAGAGGGACCAGGTCTGGGGCTGGAGCGGCCGAAGCTCTCTGCTCAACGCCGCTCCCCGCTTCGCCCCTTCTGCCAGGTCCGTGGCCCACTGGCCGGAGCCGCTGGCTAATATTTCATGCCCCCAGACTGCCTCCCTAGGTGACGCTACAGCCTGTGTGGTTCCTTTAAAGGCTGCGGGTTCCGCTCATCTTTCCTTTTCCACTGGATGCCAAAATATGCAAATCCGGGGACCGGAATCAGCAGCCAAATCAAGGAGAAGAGGCGCGGCCGACGCGTCACCGGATCCGCTCCTTGTATGGCTCTTCCCGGCTTGGCCCGCCGCCCGGCGACCCTCCCTGCAGCCGCGAGAGC